ATAAGATAGGTAAGAGAATGCAATGATCTTGATGATGACACGCTGCTGCTTTTGCTCATAATTTGATTAATAACTCTATCATTTTAATAAATAATTCTCACCGCTGGTGTTCCATTCAGCACGTTCGCCGTTTATTTCTCCTCTAAGGCACCTCTCGACGTAAGTCAGTGGATCAAGCCTTGCAGCCAGCACCTCTCGAAGTAGCGCGATGTACGCTATAGCCAGACGCAGGGTATCAATCTTGGACAGCCTCTTCTCGTATGGGAACGTTGGTACATGAACTCGTAGCTCGTCGAAAGCCGAGTTGATGCTGCTAAAAATCGCAATCACACTGACAACCTGCTTCACAGCTCGTTAAATACAATTACAGTATAATTCGAAGGAGGGATTTCAACATCTGAAGGAATATATAAACGTTAAATTAAATTAGGAATTTGTATACTTTGATTAGGATCAATTGGAACTGGGTGATTGGTGTTTCCCGAACGGTTGGAATATTTCATTGGGAATAATTTCTCACCTCAGCATGCGTTTTCTCTCGCGTATGTTAGCCGCGTGTCGTTGAATTCTGTATGGGCTGCCGTTTGGATAGTAGCCCTCTTCTACACCATTTATCTCTGTATCGTTGTGATCTAAACCAAGAAGAGAATCTAAGCTCTATTTTAATTGCTCAATGATTCTACACTCGAGCTCTTTTGATTTTAATAAAACGGCAGAGAAATACAAGTTGTCTTATTTGTGTCAGTTTTTTTTTTTTTTTTTTTTTTAATTTACCAGGTGTAGAGACCGGCATGTGGTAATGGAGAGGGGAATGAGCGTGTGAGGTGTGCGCGACGTGTTGAGTAGATCTACCAGCATAAACGCAGGAAGGAAGCTCGGCGAGGTCCTCCTCGCTGATGTCGCTGCTAGGGCCCACGTAATACTGACTGCTGTAACCAATAATTCACCAAGGAAATCAGAAAGGAATTGTCACCGACGAGCTCTTAATTCTAACAATCACGAAATCATTGATTGAATGATCTCTTCCTCCTTTAATTTCAACAGGACTTTTTCACGACATTGAGACTTCCAAATGTGTGAAACTTTGAAACTTTGGAATCACTCCAGGAGATTTCAAAAGAAATAAAACCCATCGTTCAAAACAGAATGCAGGAAAATAACAACGTTGAAGCCAATTCTTTGGAGAAAGACCAAGCAATTGAAATTTCTATTCTTTCGTTTTCTTTTACAGTCATTTTACACTTTTACCTAGTGCAAGCCACAGTAGAATCAGCCGCCCTGGAAGTGGTACCGACCCGATGCCGCATCCTCTGCCCCCTGTCCTCGTACTCGTAACTCGAATGGCTGGCCATGCTTCTTATCCTTACCA